CGGTAAATTTCAGGTGCCTGCAGCCCTCCCATAACCAATGCTCTGCTGCCTGCCCCACCCCACCCTGATCCGGGGGCAAATGCACGAACTCTCACTGCCACACTGCCTCCGGACAAGTGGTGCATAGCGGTGGGAGCTGCCCCTCCTCCCCACAACCCCAGGCTTTGAGGGCATGGAGGTTGTTGTGTGCCCCGTATTGGGGTGGGGTGGGCAGCAGAGCAGGGGATCTGCCAGTTGAACCACCAGACAAGCAGTGCGCAGCAGCAGGAGCCACCGTGCTTGCCACAGCCTGGGTCCCAGCCCCAGTCCCTCCCTCACCATGGGGGGACATTCCTTCCCTTCCCCATCTCCTTCTACCACTTGTCTTACCAGCTGCATGCAGTATCAGCTTGTGTAAAGATGAAACGCACGTCGAAATGGGGTGTCAGTTTATAAACGTTGTAAGTGATGTTCATCACAACTCAAAGTCATAAGCTGACAACTGGCTGTACAGAAGTTTGGGGCATGTAGGCTGTTTTAAAAATGGCAGAATCTGGTCTAAGATAGATCTGGATGGATGTAGTATCAGACTTATTTGGTTTAGGTTAGACCAATTTATTGAACTTCTGTACCAGATGCCCTCCTGACTGGAGTTAGGTTGCTGTCTGCAGGCATTCCATGCTGCTTTGTGGGTCCCTCCTTGCTCCCCTTGCAGGGCAGTGCACTGGAACTCAGCCTGCTCTGTCCCCAGCCCCAACTTCAACTAGCTGTCTGAAGCAGCCAGGGTGGGGAGGGGGGAATCTTGGTACCTATGTCCCTGCATCTGCACCACAGCAGCAAGGGATGGGGGGACTGTCCCCCCCTTCTTGGGCACAGGGTTTGTGCAGGGACACAGGCACAGCCGCAGCCAGGCAGGGGTAAGGGGAGAGTGCTAGTGTCTGTGTCTGGGGGGATCTTTATTTTCTTTCCTTTGTTAAATAGCTGCTCTGTTCCATTGTAAGTGTGAGTACAGTTAATTCATAACCTCATGCAAAGTATACAGGTTTCTTCAGAAACCCTGTTATGAAGGACACTTTTTGCATTTCATTAACATGCATTCAGCTAAGTAGGATTTTGTGGGCATGGACTAGAGCAGTGGTTCTCAACCTTTTTTGGAGTAGAATCACAGCCTGAGAGGAGTGGAAGTTGGGTCATGGTGGTGGGGCAGAGCTGTAGCCCAGTGCACAAACAGCTGGTGGCAGGAGGAGGTGAGGACAGAACCCCCCTTCCATTATTCCTTTCACTGCTGGCAGCACAGCTTGTATTGGGGGTCCTGGTGGCGGTGGTGGCAGCAACGAGTCTTGTCCTGCTTTGCTCTCCCTTGCTAAGTCCTGCCCTCTGGGCTGTGGAGGCAGCTCCTGCCTGTGCTGATCCGGCCAAGCTGCAGCGCCATGCTCGCTGTGGGCACAAATCTGGGAGGGCATGTGCCCCCCCATGCTCTCCTGGCAAGTCGTCTGTGCCCACCCCCACCCCATAGATTTACCTGTAGGGAGCTGTGGGAGCTGCTTTCTACACTGCCTGGCTGCCATGTATGTACATGTGTGCATGCGCACATGCATGTGGTGCCCCCTGCTTCATTACCCTGATTCCACTCCCCGCAGCCCCTTGCAGGCTTCCCCATCCTGCAGGGGGAAGCCTGTGTTTTTCCATAGT